CAAAAGAGTTTATTTATTTATTAAATAAGAATAAAAGAACAGGTGAGAGGCATGTGGTTATACACAACTTCAATGACTTTTGGAAGGGTAATATAACCATGAAATAAGGGTTATAACCATCAGTGAGAGTTTATGGTGTAATTTATGATCTAAGAACGCCTTTACAAAGTTCTCCCTACGAAAACTTAAACAGTGACACATTGGAAATTCTCAAATGATGTGTTACTAAATGAAAACTATATTTTCTCTTACTCAAACTGTCTTTAGAATATTTAATTGTAAAAAAAAAAAAAATAAATAAATATCCAGCAATATTTTAACCCAACCCAGTGGTTGGTCAGAGAGAACACAGACTGATCAGGAAGGAGCTGATTGATGACAACTGATGACTGAATGGTTTGCTTACTTGAGAGATGAAGGACCGGTAGCATGGATCTGTAGGGGATTGATTAAGCGGGCTTTGCAGGCTACCCCCGAGGTCCAGGAGAATGTGAGTGATCTCTGAAAGCGTTGGTACTTGCAAGAGACATAGTGTTAGAGAGCGGGCAGACAGGTAATGAGGACTAAGATCTGCTGCACATAGGTGAGACCCTTTCAATGAAGATCACTGACGAACTGAGTTCACTGGTTCTCTGCAACTTTAAGAGATCAAATTAGAAGAGTTAAATACAGTCAAATTGATTCGAAGTTTTCTATCTTAGGAAAACTAGCTGATTGCATTGACTCATTAACTCGAAGGCAATCCCTCACACCAAGCATGCTTGTAGCGACAGTGGAGAGGAAAAACTCCCTTTCAACAGCAAGGAACCTCCAGCAGAATCAGGCTCAGTGTGAGCGGGCATCTGCCGAGGGCAACTGGGGTTCAAGGAGACAGAAGCAGACATAAAAAAAGAAGCAGAAGCCGCATTTACACTACCCTCTGAAAACCAATCTGTGCCGGATTGGATCAGTTAACAGTGTTGAGCTTTGTTCCTTAAGACCGTTTACACATCACGCTAGCACGGTTCCTCGCCTTCCAGTGACGATCTACGGTACTACTGCTCTCTAGAGTAAACAAACATATCAACATGGCCGCGCCTGTAATATTCAGGAAATTTGAGGAGAGTCAGGCAAAGAAGGCAAACTTTGCTGAATTTACTTGACAGTGTCGGTGTTTGGGAAGTGGATACGACAAACGATAGTCTAATCAGGGCTTACAGACGCAGGAAACAACGACAGACGTTGAGATTCATCACACTGCTAACCGGAATCATCACTGGAAATCATTTGCCACAGTAGGGAAGCTAGTCTTTCATGAATTTCGTGAATTTCATCATTACGGAGGCTGGCTGCAAGGGAGATGAAGCAGTCTGCTCATGTGCTCTTTGTTATCTGAGAACCGTGCCAGAACTAAACAGCGCTGAAACCTACTGATGAGCAAGTACCAGTTTAGCGCAGTTTGGTTGTGTTTGGCACACCATTTACACTCAACAGTTATCTCAGTTACCGATCTCGGGACGGTTTCAAAAGGGTAGTATAAATTGGGCTAGAGATACAAAAGGCAACTGTCAACCAGCTCCACAGCCCCCATCAAGTAAACACACAGCAGACAAGCTGCAAGCCAGCTCCCATGTCAGAGGAAGAAGGAGAGCACATCCAGCCAGTCACAGTCAAAAAACAAGACTACACTGGAAAATAGGCCAAGCTCCAACATCTATAAGCAAAGATGTTGATGGCAGCAGCACAGCTGATATTTCTCTGTAGGATGATGTCACAGCCAAACAGGAACAGACCAGATGAAGCTACTATGAGAAAAAGCAGAAAGAGCACAATGTTAGAGAGTGAACTAACAAATACTGCAGAGTTTGAGTCATCATCTTAATAAGATGTGCATATAAAATTATCAAAAGGGAGGCAAAACATTCCCTTGGTACTTGTTTTGAGGCAGAACCATAGCAAGTCTGCTCTTAGCTTCAACATGTACATCTTAAGTTGGAGCAAGCTATTTATGAAACACAGAGAATTTAATTCATAAGGTATAGCTCACTCCTTTGTGAAAACAGTTCTATCAAAAAACAAATCCTCAACCAATGTACATTTCTAAAAACTTCAAAAAAGTGTATACTGTGTGACAGTTTTAAATGTACAGTCATGTTTTTTCTATTTTTGTTAAATAGGTAGGCTAAGGTCAAAGTGAGTATAGGCCACATTCAAAAGCTCAACATTTCAGGATAGGAAAGTGTTATCCAGCTGTGATGACTACAGCTATTTGTACAACCACTGTTACTAAATGCAGCCCACGGGCTGCATCTAAAAAAGTAAACCAAAACTATGTTATGCAAGGAGGAAGCCATATTTTAATTCTACACAGAAATCTAGCTGGGTTCAAAGAAACAGAAGCTGGGTCCACATGACCTCATCTGATCTCCCAGAAACAGAACCACGTGTTGTTTTTGTGTGTGTTGATGAGAAAGCTGGAAGTTAGGTGCTGTCAAAGATTAAAAAAAAAATTATAAAGGCTTTTATCAGAAAAAGGAGTGGGTGGAGTTATATTACGGTAGTAGTCACGTTACACGTTCAATCAATAAAAGCAGTCATTATATGTGTGAATACTGAATAACTGACTGATAAAAGTTTTAATAAAAAAAATGTATGTCCAATTAGATATAATTAGAAATGTCCAATCCCACCCTTTCCATAATAAACCCCACTCAAAACTCCAGTCAGTAACAGTAGAAGGAGACTAACATTGAGTCTGGCTGTGCTGTTTTTGTTGATGTGAATGTTGATGTTTCCACTGTTGCCACAAGATTTCTGCAAAAGCAGTTGCTGCAAAGTCAATAGCTCCCAAACTTCCTTATTCAATGTGTTGTTTTATGCTTGTTATTATTACATATTACTGGGAAACAATTTCCTCACTGTGGCGGTAACTGGATTTTTGCTTCTTTTTTTTTTTAAAGCAGATTCTTCTTTCACAGTCGGACCCTCCTCCATGTTCCTTTATTATAAACACAAACTTCTTTGTTGTCTTTGTTTCCATTTGAGGAATGAATTCCTGCATTGTTTTCTTCTGTGTCCAAATTGAAGCAACAAACCTCTGTTATTACTTACATCATCAAAATGTTGTTTGATAATTATGCAAGATCCCTTTTATATACTGTATTTCTGCTTTTCGGAGAAAAACAGGGAAAAAAGCCAGCTGTTGTATGACATAAGCCTATGATGTAATGTTATCAACATTAGGTTAGTGAAACATTATTGTTTATTTCACACTGATTTTTACATTTGATTCTAGGAATTAGAAAAGCAGTTTTGGGTTTTTTTTTTAGCTGCAAGGATTTTACAGTATACACTTAATGCTATAATCTTCACTTGTAATTTTATTGGAAGTTAGTATAGATTAGTTCAAATTAGGGCCTGCATTGCTAAAGGGTTGCAACATAGGCACATTACAAATCTGATATTGATAGGAAAGACCTAAAAAAAAGACTATTTTTAAATGAAGATATAATTTGGCAGTTTATCACTTGCCATACAGAAGATGCAGCAACATGTTTATCAAGGTGCTCTCATCATATAAGACAAACTAATGTTTTGGGCCTTACTGAGTTATTTTTGTGGCTTAAACACCAGGAAAATACACTATACACGGTGGGAGCAGCAACTGGATGCATTAATGGGTGGGTCATGCTAAATACAGAGCTGAAAATAAATGGTTAAAACAAGAAAGAAATCAAGTTGATAAATGTCTGCATGATGTTCTCTAGCCAATCTAAATTGAGCATGGGTCATTTGACGAGAAAGAAGGTAGGACATTCCTCTAAAGATTACATAAAATATTTCCATGCTTTTACACAAAAACAGGCTTCAAATTGGTAAAATCTAACCACCAGAATTGAAAAAGACTCTTTTATATGTCTCAAAACTTATCAGAATAACTAAGTGAGAGTCCAGCTGCCTCCTATTTAACCCTTTAAAACCAAGTTTATCAAATCTGCATCATCAGTGTGATAATTCTTTAGTTGAAAACCCAGGCCTACACTAACAGATACACAAAGTGACCAGAACATCTATAAAAGATTATACAGAAATGCCTACTGAATGACAAATGATGTAAATAATGGATCCAAATGTAATTACTACCAAATGCAGTTTTTTTTTTTTTTTTTTAAGAAAGTTCAATCCATCCATCTTCTTACTCTTATCCGGTGCCGGGTCGCAGGGGTAGAGGCTTCAGTAGGGAGGCCCAGACGTCCCTCTCCCCAGCCACTTGGGCCAGCTCCTCCGGGGGAACCCCAAGGCGCTCCCAGGCCAGCCGAGAAACATAGTCCCTCCTGGGTCTCCCTCTGGGCCTCCTCTTGGTGGGATATGCCTGGAGGCATCCTAATCAGATGCCCGAGCAGTCTCAACTGGCTCCTCTCGATGTGGCTCTTGGGAGAAAGTTCAATGCTAATTCTAATAAAAACAATTTCATGAAAGTTATTTAATGGTCCAGCTTTAAAGGCTTAAGCCTGTTATTTGGTTTCTATTATCCAGACAACAGAATTTGCACAAGTCTGGTTGACTTATAGCAAAATAAAATCCTAATACAATACAACCAAGTATGTGTTTATTTAGGGACCAGGCATGAAAAAGTTTAAATGTATAGGTTTTTGCAATAAAAAAGTATGTCTGCTGTTATACTGAACTGTTGCATTTTAATTTAACCTGATTTAACCAACTTAAAATTGGCATTTTTTTTTTTATGCAGAAGTACATTTCACAGTGAAATGCAACCTAAAGCGTTAAATATGGTTTACTTAAATAACTAAATATATTTTTTTTATTAATAGAGAGAAAAGGAACTGATGAAGCAGAAGGGAGGTCCCTGAAAGCAGCACCACGCACTAACCCCTTATGTCCTGCTGGGAATTTAGTTATGTAAAATAATTTGTTGTTCCCATCGGGATTAATCCGGAAACATGCATAGTTAATTGCTGAAACATTTGTTTCTGTTCCTGGCCCGTCGACCTGCTAACCTGCTTCCTGAGAACCTTTCAGGAACTCAGCTGCAGAAGATCCAACCCAGGCCAAACAGGCAGGGCGGGGCGGGGTTAATGAAAGAAAAAAAAGATATTTCCTGGTGACCTACGACAACACAGGAAGGTAAAGCTAGCTTCGGTTAAATGTGACGTTTTCAAACCTCTAAATGTAGAGTGGCACATTAAAATAACTCCTTGTAATTCGCAGTAACTTAGCTCAGTTTAAATGTAAAGTTTGCCACTGCTGGCTTTGGTTCAGACAAGTTAGTCGAAACCGCTGGGAAACCTGTAGATAACAGCCTCTGAACGTTAACTCAAGTTATATCATTGCCTAAAAGCTCAAAATTTAAAAATAAGTAGTTAAAATGTGAGTAGCTATTAAGGTTTACTGTAGAATAGTTACATTTCTGTAGTTATTTAATGCGGTTGGTGGCTGACTGGTTGGTGGTTAGCGGATAAAAGCTGCGGCTAAAAATGTTAGCTTTGGATGCGCTTGTTTTCCTTACAGACAACGTCTCGAATGGGCGGGGTTGTATCAATAAGACTGCCGTAAGAAATAAAAGCCTAACAATAATAAATGGAATTTACACACTGACTTTTATGCTTTTTTAATTAAATAAACACGTCATTCATTTCAGTTATGTACATCAAAAATCATAATAATAGATCAATGTACGTTCTTTATATATCAGTAAACGGATGCTTGTGGTTAAAGGCTAAAAAACAAGTCTTTTTTCATCAGATTATTTATTGTTCTATAAATCTAATACTTTTTTTCACTACAGAAATGTTAGCCTACTGAAAGTATCACCATGCATTTTATATAATACATAAAAAAAATGGGGTGGGGTTGCTATGAAAGCTACCTTCAGCTTGTTTGCATTGTTAGGTCTGGTGTCTTTTATTTTCCTCTAAACAATACTCCATATATTTTTACAATGAGGTTTAGGTTTAGTTTTCCGGCCGGCGTGTCAAAAACGGGTCATTAAAGCAACAACTGATTCCTTTATAGTCTGCTCATGTGTCAAATGCTGGTGGAAAATAAAAACAGCACCACCTTAAAAAATCCCCAGCATCAAGTTCTATGTTGACAATTGACTCCATAAAGCAGTAGATCAACACAAATCCTTTAAATGATTCTGGTATTCCTGTTTTTTGAGCACCTTCTAAGGCCATCCTTTTTCCTTCCACCTAACTTTCCATAGTAATGCATGGTTACATTGATGTGGACTGCCAGCAATACCTTGGGACTGGTAACACAGCTGTCAAGTCAGCAGTGTTTCAAACTTGTATAAACTCTAGCATCTCCATAATGTTACATCTTCTTTACTAAAAATCTTTTTTTATCAGTGTTGTGGCGTATTCAATTTATTCATTAATGAAATATTTTTTATGAGTTCTAAGCCATAACCTTTGATAAACATCATGCTGTGTGTAATAATTTTATAAATAAATCTAATAAAGTAAATTTCTGTCATATTTTAATATATATTTATTACACATTAAAAAAAACAAAAAAACAAGATAATAAACTGGTCAGAAGTATATTTCTAATTTATGTTGTATTAGTTGTAGTAGATACTTTTAAATTGGGCTGTATTGCTTTTAATGGTTTTGAGCTAGGTCTAGACTTCACTGCTGGAGCTAATCTAAGGCTAGGTTCACACCGCAGCCTAAAGTGACCCAAACCCGATTTTCTTGCCCACATGCGACATGAATCTGATCTTTTCATGGCTGTCTGAACAACAGAGATCTGATTTTTTCCAATCTGACCCAGGCCATTTGGCTATGTGGTCCTGGATCCGATTTTCAAATGCGACCTGTGTCTGAACAGCCAGGTCCGGACCTGAACGCCATTAGTAATCAACATAAGTCACTATTCTGGTTTTTGCTACACAGAAGCAGCAAGAAAAACAAACACCATGGCGGACAATGATGCGGAGAGCAGTATTTTTTTTTAAACCATCTTAAAAAAAAAAGGGGTTTTAAGGTTTGCACAATATCCAGGTTTACCTCCGTAAACACGAAGCACACTGGCTTGTGACGTCATTGCGTCCTCTACTGCGCATGCGGGACACTTAAGCTGTATGAATGCAGTTCACACAGGAGATAACATATGAAGCGCATATATTTAGAAATGTGAATGGCGAACGTAGCCTTAGATTAATAGACGACATATGGATGGACCGATCGGGTGAATTGAATACTATAAGACTTGAATTGATTGCCCCTATCTTAACATGACTGTTAGAACTGGCTGCAGGAGTCTAGTTAGATACAGAGATATATGAAGATACAAAGTTTTAACAGTTTTTCTTCAATCTGCAGAGCTTGTGAATCGTTTCATGTCCTTCCCTCCTAGATGAATGTTGGCGTAGCTCACAGTGAGGTGAACCCAAACACACGGGTGATGAACAGCAGAGGAATATGGCTCACCTATCTTCTGCTGACCGTGGTGCTGCACATTGTCCTGCTCAGCATTCCTTTCCTATCCGTGCCGCTCGTCTGGACCCTCACCAATGTCATCCACAACCTGGTCAGTGTGAAAGTTGCTGACACCTGAACACACACGTTTAGTTTTATTTGCCAGGTTTTTCACAGCTAATGTAATCCGTTCATCTGTTGATCAGAGATGGACGAGCGTCGCTTCCAAAGTATTGCAGTAATAGTTGTAGTCTGATAGAGTGAATTTTGTTCCATTATTGTTGGGTTCAAAAGTGAGTGCAAAATCTCAACACTCCTAAAAGCCCAGGTGTGAATGAAGAGGGTGTAGCTGAAAACATGTCCACAGATTTAAAAATACATTCCCATACGCTGTATTGGATATATGATATTTTCTAATGATGATCATACTGGTCAGAATGTGACATAAATACTTGACGGAGAGCAAAACAGTGTGCGGGAACTTTTTAGGAACTCTATTCGGTTACTGTAAAGAGTTCAATTCTGAAAACACCACATTTTGTAAATGGAAATAAAAAATAAATGAAATACAAAATATTAAACTTCTCAATTAAAAAGGGTTTCTATAATAACTTTGCCATTTTCTTAGATTTAATTTTTTCTCAATTTCTTTGTTATAATTTCTTTTTTTGTATTTTTATGTTTCTTTTTTCCAGATTTTTTTTATTAGATAAATTTAACTCTTTGTTAATTGTGTTTTACAAATAATATTCTCTTGACTTTAATCAGGTATAAATGCTCTCCCTTGAGCAATAAAATAGATTTTTTTATCGCCCATGCAGACGAATAGAAATGCTCTTTCCCTCCTCATTCTAAAGGAACAACCCAAGAGACGAAAACAATCTGATTTGTAAAAACACAATTAAAAAAACCCTCAAATTAAAAAAAAAGTTATTTAAAAATATTAAATAAATAAAAAAATATTAGACAGTAAAGTTATTCTCAATAGCTTTTTTGATTAATACGTTTTTTAAAGATTAATTTTAGGATTGCATTTTTTTCCAAATGTTCTTTTACAAAATACATTCCTTTCTTGCAGCAATAACGAAACAAAATTAACTCCATATAACCTTACCTGCGTGTCTGGAGCTTCTTTGACAAAGTTCAGTCTTTATGATAAACATTTTGACATATTTTCCTTCTGCAACCACAAACTTTATTGTGTTTCATTTGGATTTTTGTGGAAGAAATCAGAATAAAAAAACAAACATAATATCTAAAAGTGCGGTGTCTCAGCACTTTGCAGGAACCTGATGTTTTGTGATGTTATGGGATGATGATGTTGTTTTAAAGTTGTAGTAAAGTGTAAGTTTAACTTAAGAATGAGCCTTGAAGTTTGATCTTATCTGGCCAGAGCACCATATCTTATGGTGACAGACTGCAAAAAATATTTTTTTATTAAGCGCTTTCTTTTTATCCATGTTTTCCTGAAGAGAAGAGCCACTTTCAATAGCTGTCCTGTTGACAGTTTTGCACCTGAGCTGTAGATTCCTGCAGCTCCAGCACAGTTACTCTCTGATTGATCCTACCTTGCAGGTTTAAGAGACGGCTTTTTCTGAGTAGCTTTGTGGTTCTGTGACACCCTTTTGATTTCAGATGATGGACTGATGAGTGCTTTATGAGACTCTTGAAGCTTGTGATGTTGTATTATAGCCTAAACCTGCTCTAAACTAGTGCTTCGTAGTTTGGTCTTCTTGAACAGGCATAGAACATAAAGTAGCTTGATTTATACTGAGATCAGTTTGACTACAGGTGCTCTCTAGACGCTGTATGACTTCTAACTGCAGATTTTATTGGTGACAAAGACGACCACATATGACCTAATCCCAGACCTAGTTTTATTTAAAAGGATAGTGACC